GACGAGTCCTGCTTCTGTTTTGCCAGGAGCTCTGACGGTGGTAGCCCCCGTCTCTTTGTGGGGGGCCACGGCGCTGGTGCCAGTCACCATCACGGCCCCTGTCCTCTCGGGTCGTCCAGCGGTCCGAGGGGTGGCCCCTGGTAACTGAGGCATAGCTCCTGCGTGCAGGTCTGGAGGTTGGACGGTCACGACTCCTCCATTCGGACCTCCTGGGACCTCCGTCCGGTTGGTGGTGACGGTTGAAGCGGCGTCGTCCTCTCCGGTAACTAACAGTGGTCCAGCTGGGGTCCTCGTAGTTCTCAAACATTTTAACTAAAAAATACTCACTACTCCAGACTGTTGTTCAAAATTCAAAAAATGAATAAAAATGAAAACTGTGGCTTGTTTTTGTGCCGTGTGGCCTTTTAATAATAACTATATACAATATTTACAGAGTACAGCAAATACAACGTTTCGGTTTGATTCAACCTTCATCAGGTACAAATGCTGTCCAAAAAAGCTGTAACAGTTAGTCTCCACTATTTATATGGGACAAGTTCAAATTGTGTGTTTTAAATTCAAACTGAACCCTAATTGGTTTACAGAGGATCCTGTGTGCCAATCATGCATTGAGGGTGTGGCCAGGTCTTGGTTTAAACGTTCAGGTGGGCCTTGGCATCACACAAAGCAAGTTTACTCTTTAAAAACACTCAAATATGAAAAATGCAGCATGTGGCAACAAAGTATAATATAAAAGTTCAACATAAACACATAAGTGGATCATAAATCAAAAATAGAAATAAAATAGGAGTCAGTTGAGCAAAGATTAGCTTCAGATTACATTATCATCTAAAAACAACTGTGCCTAAAAAATGTTGGAGTCTTGTTAAACGTTCTTGTAACCTTAAAACTTGTTTTTTTATGTCATATAGGAGCTGAGCTAAAAACTGGGCTTCAAACCATCAAGCGTGGAGCAAGGCTGCCACCTTGTGGACAAATCAGGTAACAACAGAAAAACATGAAATATTAACATCAGGTTGAGTTTGAGGTTGATTATCTTTGTGGATTATTAAACACCTGGTTAAGTTTAGGGTTGGTTAAGATTTGGGGTTAATTGACAGTTGGTTAAGTTTAGGGTTGGTTAACTTTTTAGGGTTAATTGAGTACTGGGTTAAGTTTAGGGATAAGTCCTGGGTTAGGTTCAAGTCCTGGTTAAGTTTAGGGTTAAGTCCTGGGTTAGGTTCAAGTCCTGGTTAAGTTTAGGGTTAAGTCCTGGGTTGTTGAGTCCTGGGTTAAGTTAAGGGTTGGTTAAGTTTAGGCATAAGTCCTGGGTTAGGTTCAAGTCCTGGTTAGGTTCTTGTATTGGTTAAGTTAAGGGTTAAGTCTTGGGTTGGGTTCAAGTCCTGGTTAGGTTTAGGGGTTGGTTAAGTTAAGGGTTAGTCAAGTAGTGTTGTAAAAAGTCATCCAGGGTTGTCAGAGAAGCAGTAACAGAGGGTGGGGACGCGCTGCAGGCGGCACTGGCAGGGTTAGGTTTGGGTTAGTGGAGGTCCTGCTGCCGAAGGCAGCAGGATCTTCACGTCAGAGACCACGCTGCAGGAGACAGCAGGGCCCCTGAATGCACGGGCACACCCACTATGAGTCACACCCAAGCACTACCTCTCATTCAAACCACCGGGGAAGATGGTGCTGAGTCTGTTGATCCATGTTTTTTCAGCCCTCCTCCTTTGGGCTGTGGACCAGGTCTGGTTGGACTCCAGCACTGTTGCTGTGACCGCCTGCCAGCCATGCTCGACAAAGTGCCGGACCAGGGGTGTGAGTAGGTTTTTCTTATTATTGATATTATATCTATGTTGGGCAAAACGGGTCAGAATCGTGTTACCGGTTTCACCCACATAATTGATCTTACAGATTTTACATGTTATTAAGTAGATGCAGTTTTTAGACTTGGGGTTTCCTGATTGATCCAATTGGAAAACGGTCTTGTCAGATTTGCTCTGTATCCAGTGTAGTTGTTTGAAAAATTCACTTTTGCTCTTGGTTTTAGTCGCATTAATAGGTTTTAATTCTGCATGGACCAGGAGGTCTCTCAAATTCTTGTTCCTTTTGTAGGCCGCAATTATTCTGTGGTTTTGGAGAAGGGAAGTGTCGGATTGTAATTTATTAAAATTCTGTTTTACCTTGCAGATGAGTATGTTAGCTGAGGAGGAGTATGTCGTGATCAGAGGGAGCATTGGGGATGTATCTCGTGGCCTAGGATGCAGGAAGGATCTCCTGCACGACCTGAGAAAAGACCTCGAGTAGCCCCGTTTACCAAGGACCTTGAAAAGGATTCCCACTGCCTCCTCGAAATCTGCGTGTTGGGTGCATATTCTGTGGAATCTAAGGAGCTGTGATTTGATTAGACCGGCGTAGGTGTGTTTGGGGTGGAAACTGGTTTTATAAAGTAGTGCGTGTGTGTCTGTGGGTTTAAAGTAAACTTTGATGTCCAATTTGTGTGTGGTGTTGAATTTGTCACTTTTGTAGGTTGTGGTGTCCAGAAAGTCCACCGCTTTAACGCTGGTGGTAGACTTTAGTTTAATAGAAGGGTTGTAGTTGTTTAGTTCTGTTAAAAATTCATCAAAGTCGGCCTCTGAGTGTGGCCAGGCACCCCAAATATCATCTAAATATCTGAAGTAATATAATGGTTTTTTACTGCAGGCATCGAGGGCGCCAGTCTCCCACTCTGCCATAAAAATGTTGGCGTAGGCGGGTGCGAACCTCTTGCCCATCGCCGTACCCTTAATTTGCAGAAAGAATTGGTCGTTGAACTGGAAGTCATTCCGTTTTAAATTGATCTCCAAGAGCTGGAGCAATTCTCTGTCCGGTCTTTTACTGTCAGGGTGTTTAAAAAATATATTCTTAATGGCATTCAAGCCCTCATTAATACTAATATTGGTGTATAAATTGTCAACATCCATGGTAAACAAGATGGATTCGTCTGGTAAGGTTATTTGTTTAATTTTTTCTATAAAATCATATGTATCTTTAATATAGCTGCTATGTAGCGTAGACAAGGGGTATAGGAAGTGGTCAATAAATTCTGCTGTGCCGTAGGTCTCACTGGCACAATCTGACACGATAGGTCTCCCAGGAGGAATCTCATGCGGTTTGGTCCACTTGGTTGGCTCCTTATGCACTTTTGGAAGTAAATAAAATCTCCTCATTCTAGGTTCTGAGGAGCCTAAGAGGTAGTTTTTTTGTTTAGCGTTAATAAATTTCTTTTTGTGTAAATCTTCAATTATTTTGGCAATCAGGGGGATAGTTTCTTTGTAAATGGGTTTATCTATTTTTTGATAATAAGTGGTGTTGAACAGTTGTCTGTTCGCCTCAAAAACATATTGTTCCCGGTCCATGATGACAATGGAACTACCCTTATCTGCTGGTTTAATAACAATATTTTTATTCTCCCTCAATTCAGAGAGGGCCTTGTTCTCTGCTACACTTAAATTAGGTTTAGTTGTGCTAATTCTAAAATGCCTGTCAAAGTATTCCAGGTCATTATGGATCAATGTAACAATCTCTGGAGGGAGTAAATTCAAATTAGGGGACCAATTGGATGCAGGCATAAATTTTTTTAAAATAGTATTGCTGGGAGTTGTGGTGCCATCTTCCTTATAATAAACTGCTAGTTTGACCCTTCTATGATATTTCTGGAGGTCAAACCTGGTTTGAAGCATCATTTTTTCGTGGTCTGTTTTTACCCGTGTGGGGATGAAGGTAAGGCCCTTGTTCAACAGAGAGCTTTGTGCTTCACTCAAAGTAAAATTTTTTGATAAATTATAAATATTTTCATTTTCAAAATTACTTTTATTAGGCCCCACCTGTATAGAGTTTCTGGGGCCAGTTAGTTTAACCAAAGCTCCCAAAGACTCATAAGGGATCTGGCTGTACTGCTCGACCAGTGAACCTGATCCTTGGCCACCTGAAACACACGATCATTGATGGCGGGAATGGACTCGTCCAATCTGTTGATATATTCATTCAGGTGAGTCAACATCATTTTTTCTCTCATAGGCAGTTGTTTGGAGAAGTTAACTGCTGGCACAAAGACTTCAGCGTTAGGACACCTGGCCTTAACTATTTTTAGAGCCGTTTTGAATTCCATAATCAGAGAATTCTTGTCTCTCTGGGATCTGTTGTTGATGCCCACAGAGATAATCATGCGCTTAACTTTTGGCATAATGTCAGCTTTGTAGAAGAGAGCAGCCACGTGTCTCCACTTTGCGCCAGGAAAACTTTGTACGCTTAGGTCAGGATAATTTAAAATTGGGAGTTTATTCACATTAGAGTCACCCAGGATTACACATTTTGTATTTAATTTAATGGACCAATCATGTTTTTTATTAAGTGATCTCTTGTGTTTGATTGAGGGTTTTACCTGGTCATCAGGAAGGGCAGCGATGGTTGGAGCCACTTTTTTAACACGTGAGGAAACATATCTCTGCTTTTTAAAAAAGATTCTTCTCTGTGTGCTGGCCTGCAGCCTGCGCCGAAGAGTCATAATATTGGACTTTGGTGAGTTGGGTAGAATTTCAGCAGCAGGTGATTGTTGTGATGGAGATGTCAGAACAGGAAGTGGGGGGAGCAGCACAACGTCATCCAAGCCGACCACTTCATCAATAGATGTGTCCAGTGTTGACATTTGTAGAGGAGTGGGGGGTGGAGCCTCAGACGTCATCCGTTCAGCAGCGTTGTTATCAGTAGACTTGTGGGCGGAGTTCCTCACACGTTGAGGAAGTGGGTGGAGCGTGGGAACCGGGGCAGATGAAGGCTGCATGCCTGGGTGAAGACGTGTGCTGGGACCCTCATCCCCGGAGTCAGATGGGGACCAATAGGACCGGACGAGGTCAGTCATGGTTGCTGCAGTTCTACAGGTGGGTCTGTGTTGGGATGAGGAAGAATCAGCAGAGGGGGGGCGTGTCTCTACGGGCCGCGGCCGGTTGTTGACATTGTCGGTGTCGATAATCTGTTGTTGCTGCTCACGGTGAGCAGATGGGGGTGTCGAGATGATGTCATGGCCAGCTGTATTCAAAGGAGGTGGTGTGGGCGGCGACATTTCTTGATTCCGTGTAGAAACAGACTTCCGGGGGGGCGTGACGTCATCATTCTGCGTCTCTACAGCTGACGCTCTTTCTCCGCGCGTAAACAAATAGAGTCGCACAGCCTCCACAGTTCGCGATGAAAATCTCCTGCCCAGATTACGTTTAGCCCAGTTGGTGGCTGTTTCCAAAGGGGCTGATAAATCACCGCCGAAGCGTAACAGGAAGTCCTTCTCTGCCAGCATTCCGTCTTGGTAATGTTGTTTTAATATCATCATCGTGTTATCAGCCCAAAATCTAGCGTTACCAGCGATTAAGTCTGTGGTTTTAGCGCTGGGTTGAGCTGGTTTAATTACAGTTTGTAAATGATGTGTGATACGTTGAATAGCCGGGGGCATATGGCTGTCGTCCGACACGTTAGCAAGGTGATGCTTAGCCTTTAACAGTCTGTAAATCGCTCTGACCTTTTCAGTGAAGTGCTCGTCATCAGAGCGGTGCTGTGGTTCGGTGGGACGTGTGGCCCGTTGATGGTAGCGACGGTGCTGTGGTTCGGTGGGACGTGTGGCCCGTTGGTTGTAGCGTCGGTGCTGCGGTTCTCTGCGACGAGTCCTGCTTCTGTTTTGCCAGGAGCTCTGACGGTGGTAGCCCCCGTCTCTTTGTGGGGGGCCACGGCGCTGGTGCCAGTCACCATCACGGCCCCTGTCCTCTCGGGTCGTCCAGCGGTCCGAGGGGTGGCCCCTGGTAACTGAGGCATAGCTCCTGCGTGCAGGTCTGGAGGTTGGACGGTCACGACTCCTCCATTCGGACCTCCTGGGACCTCCGTCCGGTTGGTGGTGACGGTTGAAGCGGCGTCGTCCTCTCCGGTAACTAACAGTGGTCCAGCTGGGGTCCTCGTAGTTCTCAAACATTTTAACTAAAAAATACTCACTACTCCAGACTGTTGTTCAAAATTCAAAAAATGAATAAAAATGAAAACTGTGGCTTGTTTTTGTGCCGTGTGGCCTTTTAATAATAACTATATACAATATTTACAGAGTACAGCAAATACAACGTTTCGGTTTGATTCAACCTTCATCAGGTACAAATGCTGTCCAAAAAAGCTGTAACAGTTAGTCTCCACTATTTATATGGGACAAGTTCAAATTGTGTGTTTTAAATTCAAACTGAACCCTAATTGGTTTACAGAGGATCCTGTGTGCCAATCATGCATTGAGGGTGTGGCCAGGTCTTGGTTTAAACGTTCAGGTGGGCCTTGGCATCACACAAAGCAAGTTTACTCTTTAAAAACACTCAAATATGAAAAATGCAGCATGTGGCAACAAAGTATAATATAAAAGTTCAACATAAACACATAAGTGGATCATAAATCAAAAATAGAAATAAAATAGGAGTCAGTTGAGCAAAGATTAGCTTCAGATTACATTATCATCTAAAAACAACTGTGCCTAAAAAATGTTGGAGTCTTGTTAAACGTTCTTGTAACCTTAAAACTTGTTTTTTTATGTCATATAGGAGCTGAGCTAAAAACTGGGCTTCAAACCATCAAGCGTGGAGCAAGGCTGCCACCTTGTGGACAAATCAGGTAACAACAGAAAAACATGAAATATTAACATCAGGTTGAGTTTGAGGTTGATTATCTTTGTGGATTATTAAACACCTGGTTAAGTTTAGGGTTGGTTAAGATTTGGGGTTAATTGACAGTTGGTTAAGTTTAGGGTTGGTTAACTTTTTAGGGTTAATTGAGTACTGGGTTAAGTTTAGGGATAAGTCCTGGGTTAGGTTCAAGTCCTGGTTAAGTTTAGGGTTAAGTCCTGGGTTAGGTTCAAGTCCTGGTTAAGTTTAGGGTTAAGTCCTGGGTTGTTGAGTCCTGGGTTAAGTTAAGGGTTGGTTAAGTTTAGGCATAAGTCCTGGGTTAGGTTCAAGTCCTGGTTAGGTTCTTG